TTGAGCCATTTTCAATTTTTCATCATAGACATGAGTTTAACTCCAGAACCGCATTCAACAGTTGCTTTGTTGAAAGTTGATTTTCCTCTTCTGTGTCCTCTGCTCCTGTAAGTTCCTCTTCCTCTATCACTTATTTCCGTTCGACCTTCGACTTTTAGAACTTGCTCCTCTCCAGTACTGCTTGATCTTCAATATTTTTATTCATGCACCAATAATGAACTTTGTAATTCATCAATGGACATGTTATCAGTATCTTTGGATTCCTCAATGGATAATACAACAAGAGGTAATGCTTTACTTGGTGATCTTTGAATCTAGTATCATCAAGGTGACCCTTTTGTGCCTTAGTCAGCATTGTTTCTTCCGCTAGTTCTAAGAAACCAATCTCTACCACACTTCATAAACTCTTTGCTTTGAGCAAATTTTCCATCAGCTCACTCCAGTGATCATAGAGACCATCGAAGTGTGGGATCTTCGTTAAAGTCTTGTCTTTACTCATACTCTCTGTATTTGATCACTAAAAAATTACTACACTACAAAGCCTAGTGGTGGTTTTGAGGCCAATTATAAGTTTTGACAAAAGAATGATTAACACAGAAACATAAACGATTGGAGTTTGAAGCGATAATATTATTGAGTATTTAACTTTGGCTTTTATAGCCTTACAATAACGACATAAATAAATAGAAACTAACCACAAATATGGTAAATTAGTTCAACTAAATAGCTAAAAAAAATACTCTAACTATCAAAAGAGACCATAAAATTATTTGATCAAATTCTTATAACATTTAGGTACTTACTACTACTCTCCCAACAAAAGGACCTTCCAATTCTCCTATTTCCAATATTGAATCTCGATGAAGTTTACTTTTCTAACTCAACTTCCTTCACAAAGGTTGATCCAACTCTGGTTGGTTTCTACGTTTTTCCTTTCACTTCGTAAAAATAGTTGTTTATATGAATAAAATGTTGATGTTATAATGGTAGTTTGGCTAGATTTTTTTTTTCTCAAACTCCAGATTATTGTATTAAAAGAAAAATTATATTTTCTTTAAAAGAATCAAATATTAATGAGATCATGAATCATGTTATGTGTTTATGGGAAATCTTCAATCATTCCTCCTATTTCACTCATTACAATTTATACCCACCATTCTCAAATAAAAATGTTTCTTTCATAATGATTAAGGTATTTAGTCTTTTCTTTAACGCTTAAGGTTTAAATCACTATCATATTTGTTATTAAAAGAATATATTATTCCTTTGTACGGATCTTTTCCCATTTTAAAAAATTGAGTGAAAGTGTATATATGAGAAGTTGGTACAAAGACCACAAACCCGGATCCTATTCATGACATTAAATAGCCCCCGAGCTCCTCCACAACCATGTTCAAAATATGAATCCTGGTATTGACATCCTTTAATAATCTTTAAATTTTATAGGTTGTATTTAGTCCTATTTTATTTAGGCTTCTTTTAATAACCATTTGATTTTTTATTTCAAAAAATTAAATTTAAAAATACTACTTCCAAATTATCAAAAAAAAAGAAAAAACAACCCCAACTTTTAAAACTAAACAGTTACTAAATAAGACTTAAGATATTCATCAATTCTAATGTTCATAAAAATACAAATTATCGTTTAATTAAGCGAAGTATAATCTTAAATTTGTAGTGGTACGATCTTTATNCATTAAATAGCCCCCGAGCTCCTCCACAACCATGTTCAAAATATGAATCCTGGTATTGACATCCTTTAATAATCTTTAAATTTTATAGGTTGTATTTAGTCCTATTTTATTTAGGCTTCTTTTAATAGCCATTTGATTTTTTATTTCAAAAAATTAAATTTAAAAATACTACTTCCAAATTATCAAAAAAAAGAAAAAAGAAAAAAAAGAAAAAACAACCCCAACTTTTAAAACTAAACAGTTACTAAATAAGACTTAAGATATTCATCAATTCTAATGTTCATAAAAATACAAATTATCGTTTAATTAAGCGAAGTATAATCTTAAATTTGTAGTGGTACGATCTTTATCATTTAGAAATACTACCTTAAAAAAAATCTCAATTATACGTATTAATTTTTACAACTAAATGTTTTATATTATAAAATTAGATCCTATACTTCGTGAAAAATTTAATCTTAATATTCAATTTTCATTAATTCATTCATTAATTTTAACCAAACAAAACACAAACATTCAAAACATTTAATAAAATCAAATACAACACAAAATTAATTTTAATCAATGGACTAAATTAGTAACTAAATGACTCCACACCTCCACAAATTTCTACATTAAAAAAATTCTAAATATATACTTTTATTAAATAATTTCAATTTTCATATCAAAATGGGAATAAAATCAATGGAAAGATATAAAGAAAAATAGAAAATATAAGTTAGGTTCTACTCCCACTCTATTGTCACCTTGTTTATTGTCGTTGTATCTTGTGCTGTCCAATGGCGTCTGTCATTGCTCATTTTGTACTTTATAACCCTAATCTTGTCTTTCTCCCAATTAATTGATCCATTCAATAAATGCCTAAAAGTCTCATCGTCATCCATTATCACCATTTTTAAAGAACCTAAGATTTTCATTCTCTCGACAATGGCTAAACTATTAGTTCTTCATCTCTGTTTCGTTCTCATTACTTCCTCTTCTCTGTTTCATGTCGGAACTTCCATAACTCACAAATCTCAAGACGGATCTGAAGAATGGGGCTACGTTCAAGTCAGACCCAGTAAGCCAAATTCATTAATTTTCCTTCTATTTTATTTTAGTCATTATTTTTTATATATTTGTTCTTGGATTGTGTTGTTCAGAAGCCCATATGTTTTGGTGGCTTTATAGAAGTCCTTCCAGAGTGGACGTCAGTTCCAAGCCATGGCCGACCATTCTCTTGTTGCAAGGCGGACCAGTGAGCTACCGATCTTTCCCAATGATTTATTTATAAATTTTGGGTATTTTGTAAGAAAATGGCTCAAATATTGAAAAATAGGGTGGCTCGGGAACTAGGTTTGGGAACTTCTTGGATATCGGGCCATTGAACTCAAACTTGATGCCAAGAAACTCAACATGGCTGAAAAAAGCAGACCTCTTGTTTGTGGTCAACTCCTTTTCCTTTTAATTTTCGGTCATTTTAACCTTAAATTCTAATATTTTTCGACTAAATTTATGATTTTAACATTAAAAAAATAGGATAATCCAGTCGGGACCGGATGTAGCTATGTGGAGAGTGGAGGTGAATTTACGAAAGGCGATATGGAGGCGGCGATCGACATGATGACTTTGCTGGCTGAGGTTTCGAACTACATTGTCGGCCTACGAAACGCTCCTTTGTACATCTTTGCGTAGTCTTAAGGTGGTAAATTCGCCGTCACTCTGGCTTTGTCCCTTCTTCGGGTCATCCAAGCTGGCAATTTGACCCTTAATCTCGGAGGTACTTTTATTTTTACTTCTTTTTTAATAAAAAATTTCAAATATAAATGATGAATTATAACTTTTTTTTTATATGTAAAAAAAAAATCATATTATAACTTTGATTTGTTTAAAATGATCACATTGTAATAATCTAGAATCAATAATTTAAATACACGTCTCCAAATTTTATTTGCTAGGAGTTGCTCTAGGAAACAATTGGATGTCTCTAGAAGATTACACGGTTCGTATTCTCATTCTCTCAATCTCATCCAAAAATTTTATCAATTTTTTTCAATATTTTCGTTTTCAGAATGATAAACGAAAAGAATACTACTAAACTATGAATTTTATTTCAATTATATCCTGATCGAAGTGTTAAAATGAAATATCTCAAAGCTTGAGAGTATAACTAAAACCAACCTCATATTTTAGGAGTATTCTTTTATTATATATCCTTAACACAATAATCTTTGTCTAAAATTTTACAGTCTTCTTGGGGTACTCTTCTCAAAGATCTCTCACGAATTGATATTGGTCTCGACAAATCTTGTGGAGTCATCCACTTTAAGCATAAGGTGATAGCTCAAGGAGTACACGTGTACTCGCACCTTACAGCACCTCTATGGGGTGAGATACCTAATTACTTGGGCTCTCCCCCATTTACACTTGGTTGCCTCTTTGCAACAAATTCATCTGATATGAACCAAAAGACATCAATCATACAATATACTTCAATGAAGATGTGAAGAAAAGGTTGTCAAAATTATCAAAAGATGTTTCAATTCATGCCACATTGAAGAAGAATGAAGTTTGATTGTTATAAATTTTGGGTGGGTTACAATTTAGAGTTATTGTATTTCATTTATGTATTTTAAGACTTTATTTACTATAGGTTACAATTACATAATGGTTAATTATGGTCATTAAGTATCAATGTTACAACTCTTGGAATGACTTTAGTAGTTTCATTTTGAGGCTATATAAAGCCATGTATGTTGTATGTGTAAGGGACTTGGAAAAATATAGTAAAAAGAAGCATTTGTGCTCTTCTTTAGCCAATGGCTAAGTTTCTTTGCAATTCTATGTAGTTTAGGTTGCATGTAGAATCATTCAAGCTCGACATGATCAATCTTGCTTGTGGAGTGATTCGAATCTCATGGAAGTGTTCTTGCCTTGATATATTTGATCAACAAGAATCATTCAAGCTAGACATGATCGATCTTGCTTGTGGAGTGATTCGAATCTCAAACAATGTTCTTGCCTTGAGATATTCGATCAAGAAGGTAATCCGAATCTTACTCCCCTTGTAGTGGTTCCTTTTCTTATCATCATCCTCCTTAAGGACTTGTGTTGTACTCAACTTTGGCACTTGGCCGATGCTTGTCTTTTCTTAGCTCTCAGCTTCTCTGCTTGCAACCACTAACACTATTCCTCTAATGTGAACGGCTCTTTCGAAAGCACCGACATGGTTTACTTTCTATTTCATCTGTCTTGCCCACTTAAGGACTACAAGCGCTTGGCAAATGAGCTTGGTTTTACTTGATGGGTAGATCTCCCCACATTGAAGTGTCAACACACAACACTAATGAACTTCGGGTAGTCTTGGTTTCAGCTACAACTGATTCCAATTCTGACTAGAAACTGTCTTGCCCACTCTGGCACTCTTGACACACTTGCAAGGTCTTCAATCAACTCTCGAGTTCATTTTTCTTGACTGCGTTGCCCCACTTGACACACAAAGTATGGCTCTGATACCAACTGTCACGGTACTACTTTTTCAACAGAGCGGTGTGGTGATCTTGAAACCCTCACGACTAGCCTTAAGGGAAATTAAGCCCCATATATATTTTTCACCCCATCTTTGTGGCGTCATCGGACCTTAAGCGAGGTTTGTCAATTAAGCCCCATATATATTTTTCACCCCATCTTTGTGGCGTCATCGGACCTTAAGCGAGGTTTGTCTTCACCAATCAAACATCGCTTGTGCAGAATCCAAGCTTGTTCGACCACACACGCTGTTTGTGCGTGCATGTTCAATCGTCTGCGACTCGACCTTACCTCTGCTCGAGGCCAAGTTCTTTCAATGCAACGTCACGTCTCATATTTTTATTGCGATCCCAATCGACATGGCCCATATGTCTTGACACCATCTTTAGTCTCGGGGTGTCATCGGCCATCGCAACTCCCTCGCCCATGCCATTGAGAACGGACCCACATGTCGCTCATCTCATTGGAACGTCCCAAACATCCATCCATCAAAGTTCTATCGAGGCATTAGCTCTCTCGTGCCAGTTCCATGTCATTTACGTATACCGTATCGGATAGCAGGTCTATATAGCAACCTTCGACACTCGTCTCGACACGCTCACCCATACTGTGACACACGTATGTGCAACAGGGTAGCTCGCTTAGGCCACATGGCCCAGAGGTGGTGGAGAGCTGACACCATGGTACCCCTATAGTATATTTTGAGCAATTTTAAATTTTTCATCATAGACATGTGTTTGACGAACGGTCATACGATGTCATTGTTGTATTATTCGGTGAGAGTAAATTGGTTGTTGGAAGAAAAATGCGTAAAAAAGAGAGAGAGAATACCTGAATTCTGACTGCGTTCAAAATCAGGTTGTTATTTATTCTGAACAAATCTCCTATTTAAAATATAAATTATTCTAAATATGGCTGGAGAGTGGGCAACTAAATCTGTGCCACTTCCTACAAAATTTTCGTCTAAAATTTTGGTGATTCATTCGACGTGTTTTGTCAAATGGTCAAACGAAGATTTTCTGAAATCGTGTGAATAAGGAAAAAATGTAAAAACTCAGGTTTTATCTATCAATCTCCTCCTAAAACCTGTAGTATATCTATCTTACTATTTGAACTCCGATCTTTGAGCGTAGTTCTTAAAATTTCACCCGCGCCAGGGACTTGGTGAAGATGTCTCCAAGTTGTTCCTCTGTTCGGATGTAATCAATTTTGAGGAGCCCTCGATCTGCACATTCTCGAATGTAGTGGAATCTGATTTCTATGTGCTTGCTTCGTTCATGCAAAACTGGATTTTTGATCAGGGAGATCGTAGCTTTGTTGTCTACGTATAGCATTGGTGGATCACTTTCTCTCCCGATGAGTTCTTCCATTAGTCGCGCAAGCCAGATCCCTTGTGTTGTTGCCATCGAAGCGGCGATGTATTCTGCTTCGCAGGAAGACAAAGCAACTACCTTTTGTTTTGTTGATTGCCAGCAGATTGCGCCGCCTGAGAGAAAGTAGATCATTCCGCTAGTGCTCTTACGATCATCAACGTCACCGGCCATGTCAC